AAATTACACATTCTCCAATGAAAGAAACAAAAATAGTTTTACATAAGAATTTTGTTCAATTTCAAGAAGCTAGAGCAATCTCCCGAATGCGATCAAGATCTCTCAAGTACTTAGTGGAGTTATATTCTACAGTATCTAATGATTCTTCAGAATATGTTCGTTGATTCATTTTTCTCTTGGCTTCTCTTGGAGTCATAACGCTACTTTCTTGACCTTGTAATAATTCCACCACCTAAATACAAAATATATAACCTATCAAAACCAGATCTCGGTATACAAGAATTTGGAATTTGGTTCTATTTACCACTTTGAAACCATCACCGGTTGGGGTTACATTGTACCTGGCTCATCCGGGGTCGTAGAAGAGAAGACTGCTCGATGCATAAAGAAGCCGTTGAAGTGAACCGGATAAGCTCTTCCCGGTTATACTCATCTCCAAGTGAAGGATCCACCAATTGCTTGATCTCTTTCTTGTCTAGCAACGGCTTGGCCTGTGGCCATATATAGATAGACAAGGATACATTACTTGTACCAAACCGGTAAAAAGAATGTCCAATGGACTGTGAACTGGAATGGCTTAGCCTCAAATTTCAAACCGGTTTACATACTCACCCATAAGACAAGGCTCTGTTGAGACTCGTCAAGTGCACGATGGCCGGTTATAAGCTCCAAGAGGAGAACCCCGAAGGCGAAAACATCGGTCTTTTCATCGACAACTCCGTGCATGAAATACTCCGGCGCAAAGTACCTGATCAAACCATAGCCGTACCAAACTCTCCATGATTGATATATAATAAAATCCTTAATAGAAACATTCCTAAAGATTGATTTTCATATTGTTACCCGAATGTCCCCTCGAATTTTGATACGTTATGGTGCGTCAATTGCTTGGGAAGCCATTTGGCTAGCCCGAAATCGCAAATCTGCGGTTGAAAATCTTCGGTGAGTAGAATGTTATCGGCTTTGATGTCTCGATGAATGATTCGTCTTTGACAACCCTCATGAAGATACACTAGTCCATCTGCTGTTCCTAATGCCACCTTGTAACGTCTGCTCCAAGTTAACTTATCTTTCGACGGTCCTGCGAATATTGAATCGAACCAGCCGGTATGTTTAAAAAGTCCGCTGTTGGGAGATTTTATCAGTTAAGTTTAAGGGTGGGAATATAAACCATGGAGGAGAGAGGCTAGGCTTCCAAGAGGAGATAGCCGGAAAACGAGATGCATTCCACCTTCAATGCAACAACCGATGAATTTAGCGGTATTTGGGTGATCAACATGAGCTATAATCCCGAGTTCCGACAAAAACTCTGTTGTTTGCTCGTCCGGTGTGCCTTTGGTGAGGCGTTTCACAGCTATAAGCTTTCCTTCCGGTAATATTCCTTGGTACACCTCCGCGTAACCGCCTCTTCCGATTATGTTCTCTGAAAACGTTTAGCAGCGTTTTGAGAATCGCTGACTCATCAGCATCCAAACAGAGGATATTACTATGAAGATATATTTTAAAACTCTTTACCGGGGTTAAAACTGTCGGTTGCGATTTCGAGGTCAGCGATTGAGAAGTTGTGAAGAGATGATTGGAAATCGTAGATATCGTGAATGATCAGACCATCAATATGTGCAGGATCTGCGTTTTTGTTGCGTTTGGAGATCGCTGAAACACCGCCTAATGGAGGGAAAGAAGAGAGGCGTTTCACTGATCTGCGTTTCCATGACTTGAAGAACTTTCCCCAATTCGAAGATGCTCTGTGATTCTTGCATCGTACTTCTGCGTCTGCGTTTTCGACTGCTTCTTTGTTTTGAGGAGGATCATCAGAGAGAGATGAGGAGGAAGAGATCGAGGATCGGTTTAAACAGGCTTCGATTGTTCCTCTCGGTGATTTAGGATCTTGCTTCTCTTTCTCTACCTCTAGAAATCTTAGATCTGGCAAGGAAAGATAGCGAAAAACAATCGTGAAAACGTTGGAACAAACTAGGTTTCTTGGTATACAAGAAACAACAAAGGAAACAGAGGAAGCAAAGTAAACAGAGGAAGCAGAGAAAACAGAGGAGCTAGGTTTTACCGTGAGCTGAAACAGAATTCATGAGCAAAGCGTTGGTTCTTTTGTGTTTTGTCGTATGATTTATTTCGTGTGAATCTTCGTCAGTGACGTTACTCAAATCTTTTGAGTTGTACCTGCGTTGGAAGATTTACATTATAAATAAAAACATGAAAAAATCCAAACTTTCAGAGATCGATCTGATGTCTACACACAGAAGTTTTGATTAAATAGTTACATTGGAAGAGTACATATAAGGAAGAAGCTTCGTTGCTTTTGTCTACTACCATGAAACAGATTTTTTTTTTCTTGGAGAGATTTTCTC